GAGCTTGACATTTTGTGTGTGAAAGGAAATTCTTGTTTAAACGTGTTTAAACTGGATGGAGCGTGCGCTTTGATTGACATGACATGACCTTCAATGCGCAATGGCACTACTGCGCATTTTACGAGCAGTAGTTAATCACGAACAATTAACGATCGCACCGAAATTTCTGTGTGTGAAAGGCTCGTGATTAGTTTAAACACGTTCGAAACACGTTTATACTAGTCATGTTTATAGAATTTTAGCTGTGTGTGAAAAGGCTGCCTAAAAGCAGGCTGCAGATACGAAGTTCGTATCTAGAGAGCTTGACATTTTGTGTGTGAAAGGAAATTCTTGTTTAAACGTGTTTAAACTGGATGGAGCGTGCGCTTTGATTGACATGACATGACCTTCAATGCGCAATGGCACTACTGCGCATTTTACGAGCAGTAGTTAATCACGAACAATTAACGATCGAACCGAAATTTCTGTGTGTGAAAGGCTCGTGATTAGTTTAAACACGTTCGAAACACGTTTATACTAGTCATGTTTATAGAATTTTAGCTGTGTGTGAAAAGGCTGTTTGTTGTGCACCAGCAGAAGACTCGCGTGGTTTGGTGGGGGTCGTTGCTACGGAGATGGCTTCTGAGATGACTTCGGCTCGATCATTGTGGCATTCGGCAGAGGCGTCGCGTGGAGGACTAGGCGTGCTGGGGTGAGAGTTGGGGTCACTCATCGTTGCCGTGTAGTCTCTCTGATAGTGCCGAGGTCTGCCGCAAGAGCGACATATCACTTCACTCTTACAGGTGGAACGATGATGCCCTTTGATTAGGCAATTGGAACATACCGTGCTCAGGTCGTTGGGCAGTTTATCGGCGTGAAACACTCTACCTTTGAATGAGCCGAAGGAGACAAACCTTGGTAGGGGTTGGGCTGGTTTTTCGATCAACAACACCCTGTCCCCTGTAAGGCACTCTGTGAGTCTACCGTCGACCCTTAGACGCTGAAGTATTATCTTTCCAGACACCTTAAGCTTCCTAGATTCAAATTCATTCAGGATGTTCACATCATGAACTGACAAGGATATGTCCTTAATCAAAACTCTGGTTAAGTTTTCATTGTTAGCTGGGAGGAATGGGTTTAAGTCAAACACATTGACGCAGGAGTTGCGAATATTGAGGCCGCTAGTAATGAGGTTTAGCCTACTTGTACGGTCTGAAATATATAGCCTACATAGGCCTCCGATTTTCTGAATACCTTGAACTTTCGTAGCGGAGATTGAATTCACTACAGCTTTATACATTTCCTGACTTGTTACAAAGTTATCTTTCGAAAGAGGTACTTCTCGATCTTTAATGAAGACAGGCTTACCTCCGGCTGCGGTGCGTTCATTAGCGTCACGGTGTTGTTCCAGCGTGCCCGATCTGGCGACGCTAGCGAATGAACATTGTGCAAGGCCCTTGCTGGTCGCCATTTTGACTATCTGCACTGAAGTTTAGTTAGCCAGTAATGTAGTTTAATGAGAAAATTTCCGTCACAAAATGATTCCACAGCGATCAATAGTTGTTAAAGAAGCATCTATATTCCTTTGGAGAACTGTTTATGGTCCGATTAATGAGATTTTGAGGGATATTTTTTTTCCGGTTTGAGAAGTCGTGACTATCAAATAACCGAGAAAAGGGCCCCCTCGTCTCATGAATTAATGATTAGTCTTTCAAAAGTGATTTTAGATGTTGCATTGAACCATTTTTAGGTTTTATAGATAAACAATGACACTGAAGTCCATTATATTGTAAATTATTATGTTAATTATTCTTTTTAAGACAATTGTATTACTTAAAAATAAAAAAATGGTGTCATTAATGAATTCCTTGACATAGAAAACCCTTGAAAAGTCGTATTATCCATGTTTTCAGGCTTTCTGGATTGAGATTAGCAATATCATTACATATTGCACATATGCTAATAAGATGATTATGCTAATATGGCTATTAAAAAAGTTGCCCAATGTTGCCAAGCTGGCAACCAAGCTGAATTTACTTCAATACCCATCCAGAACACAAATCAACAAAAAACCTTGTACTTATCAACTTTTCCAGGTCATGTACATGGTACAAAGTACCGTCTACTGGACTATCAAGAACTTCATGGACGGGCCCAGACTGGTTTGGACGGTTGGGGGGGGGGGATGTTCTAGGAACGTATTGAAACGTGACGTGATCGAACATTAATTAGCAGTATAATTGAACGGAAATGAGTAATGGCAAGAACGAGCTGGGTTTTATAGCTCTCATGCCTATACGGGGCGCATTCGAACGCATGCGTCGGGTTTTAAAGCGGGCCCCGGAGGCGGCCTCACACCTGCAATTTGAAGCCACCTCGAGATCATCAAACCCCTGTTACATGATCTCGGGCCCGCAATTTTGCGTCTACACATAGGCCGGCCTCACGTCGCCTTTTTACGAGATGACGTTGGGGCGCACTCCAGAAAGACAGAAAGAGAAAGTGATAGAAGGATAAAAACAAAGAATAACATAAGGAAAGACAGAAAGAGAAAGTGATAGAAAGATAAAAACAAAGAATAAGATAAGGAAAGACAGAAAGAGAAAGTGATAGAAGGATAAAAACAAAGAATAAGATAAGGAAAGACAGAAAGAGAAAGTGATAGAATGATGAAAACAAATAAAAACATAAGAGAAGATGATAGAAGGAAGAAACAAAGAATAATATAAGGAAAGACAGAAAGAGAAAGTGATAGAACGATCAAAACAAAGAATAACATAAGAGAAGGTGATAGAAGGAAGAAACAAAGAATAACATAAGGAAATACAGAAAAGGAAAGTAATGGAATAATAAAAACAAAGAATAAAATAAGGAAAGACGGAAAGAGAAAGTGATAGAATGATAAAAACAAAGAATAACATAAGGAAAGACAGGAAGAGAAAGTGAAAGAATGATAAAAACAAAGAATAACATAAGAGAAGGTGGCAAAGCGCGCCTGATGTATTATGTTGATATAATATGTTGACAGGTCACGTCACTTCCGCTTATAAGCCGGCCCCGAGTCCACTTTGGTGTTACACCTACTGATTGCGGGACTGAGGCCGGCCTCAAACCACATCCACCTGGCCTCAGTCCGGCTTTTCAAAAAAGTTGGTGTTACACATACGTCGAGCCGCCTCCGGGGCCGGCCTCAGTCCACTTTCAGACGTAATATTTTTCACGAAGTGACAGTAGTGAAAAAAAATTGCATTCACTTTGCGTTACGATTTTCCTCACTACCGTCACTTCGTGAAAACAAGGACGGTATATGTAACAGGGGTCTAAGAACGAGATGAAAACGAGTTGAACTGTCCCTGCACGGGATGGTCGGGTTAAAAACTAGCTAAAACAAGTTGCGAGCTAGTTAGAATGATTTGGACGTATTTGGAACGAGGTAGAACTAGTTAAACACCTGTTTGAACCGATTATGAACGGCCTTGGACCGCTTGGTAATGGCAAATTCACCCGATCTTAACTTGATATTAACTGATTGTGGATGGGGTACAGACGAGATGGACGTATTGAGGACTGTTTATGAACGATCTAACATCGTGTTATAGACCTTATTTACACATTCTACCCCGACCATAACCCATTTCTACGATTTTCTAGGACTGTTCCAGGACGTGTTGAGAACTAGTTTGGTATGATGGGGGCTTAGCTGCTGCTATAAGGGACCTTTAGATTTGCACGACGAGAACGTGGACTGCTACATGCGACGTCCTTTTAAGGCACTGGCGGTGCCCAGCAGTGTCTTAAAAGGACGTCACGTTGCCTTAAAGGCACACTGTCTTACTTGTAGCTACTTGCTCTCTCTATATAGAAAAATTCCCCAATCGGTGCCTGTTGGTCCCCCATGATCCTCTTTTTCTTATGTTAAATGAGAGCTGAGTTAATGAGATAGCCACCTGTCACAGTGACCTCGCTGGCTCGCTGTGTGGTCTAATCCCTTCTGGCTGAAGTAGTAAAGCGTACCTTTAAACGGATGTCACATGTAGCAGTCTACGTTCTAGTAGTACAAATTTAAAAGTACCTAATAATGCTCGACCACAGCACTTTGTAACTAGTTCCTAGTAGGATCGAAGTACGGCAATCCGTCCGTTTGTAGTACGTCCTCCTCGTTTTAAGCACGTTGTCTTTCCGTCTAATTGCAGGACGGGGACAATTTTGAACAGGTTCAAAGTTCTAGAGCACTCTTAGTCCGAGCCCGTCAATGGAGTTCTTAAACAGATCGTAAACGGTTTCGACTACGCTCAACTCCGTTCGCACACAGTTTGAGGCCGTTTGGCAACATTTTCCAGAATGTAGTGGAAATTTGTTTGGTGTGATGGGGGCTTAAAGCGATCCCGCTTGGTACGAGGGACACAAAGGCGATCACCAGATCTATTGAAACTAAAATGACTGAACAAAGGATGGGTTGGATCTTTCATAATTCGCATGACCTTAGCTAGTGAACCTTCACCATACAACATTTTTCCATGTTGGGCAGTGTGATACCAATGATTCTCTGGGTCCTTGAAAAGAACCAGTTCTTTAGGAAAGAAAAAGAGATGTTCAGGTAGTTCAATTAAATACTTGTCACTTCAGAAACCAATGAGAGGAAATGGAGTTCAAAGTACTCACTGAAGAAGAACTTCAATTATGTTCTGAAAAGGTTTATTATCTCCGTACCATAAAAATACCAAAAGAGAAAACAAATTTAGCCACATTTGATCACCAGTTAATTAATGGTAAACCCCATTATTCCTACTTTCTATTTTCCTTTGGTGATTTTTTTTTTGGTGGTAGTTATTTTCTGTTCTTCCATCACAATCAAATTTTATTTGCTGGTTTTTGTGGGTACACAATGATGAAAACTATCTGGTTCAAGATTCTGTTTTTAATTGACCATCTGTCAAATCCGTTTCTTCAATTTTGTCAAATTGTAATTTTATTCATAATCGTAATAAGATAAAGCTACCTATGTGTTTTTACGTTGAGGCTGTTGAGATGCCGCTGTCTATAAATATGACGCTACTCTGTCGCAGAAGCATCCAGTGCACCAGGACCAACAAGACGTTCGCCAAACTTCATCGGAGATTTGATTCCTGCACAGCCCCATCATGTATTTCAGCATACTTGTCGTTGCGATGCTCATATCGTTTGCATCAGGTAAGAACTAACAGGAATAGAGTATAGACTAAAGATAAAAGCAGCCAAATGGAGGTTGATCGCTCGCGTGATATTTTGGGAAGAGAGATCAGCTGCCTTGTGTACCCTACAACGGTAAACATATCAATATGACCGCCGCATCCCAGCGGGACCGAGAACGTAGGGTGGATTCGTTCTCTTGATGCAATTCCTACCTGGTATCCAGGCTGCCGCCGTCAGTTGCTGGCGACTGCCGACCACAACTGCACATCTTCTTGTTGTCTTTCTCCATTTGTTTCTATCCTGTGCTAATCTTTTGGCTTCTGAATATGTGAGACCTGTCCATTCTGTGATGTTATCAAACCACTGCTTTCTCTGTCTGCCTCTTTTTCTTTTTCCTTCTACTTGGCTTTCTATTATTTGAGCTGCTAAGGGACTCCCCCTGCCACACAGAATGTGTCCAAAGTAACCCATCCTGAGGCGGACCAATTTGTCCAAGGAGATCTCTTTCTGCGTTTAGTTCTTGTAGAACACTGAGGCTAGTTCTTTTGTCCTTCCAGCTGATTTTTAGCATTTTCCTCCAGAACCACATTTCTGCTGCCATGATGCGATTTTCATCGGCTTTGAGCAGTGTCCAGCTTTCAGCACCATAAAGCAAAGCACTCCAAACCAGGGTTTTGACCAGTTTTATTTTCATACCGGTTGAGATGTTCCTGTCATTCCAAAGTACATGCAGGTCAACCATTCTCTTCTTCGCTATAGCTATTCTGATCTTTATTTCACTGGTACAGCTAGCATCGCTGTTCTTTGTAGATCCAAGATATTTGAAGCTTTCCACATCTTTGGCTGTTTCCCCGTCGATCTGGATGCTACGATCGGTATCTGAGGTTTTACCAGCAACTAGGAGTTTGGTCTTTTTACCATTTAAATGCAAGTTGAGTTTCTTGCCGGCATCGTGTGAGACTTTCAAATCCATCTTTGGAAGATTCGATATGTGCTGTGTCGTCAGCATATCTGAGATTTGAGATGATTTTGCCACCAAATTTAATGCCACAGTGCGCTATATCTGCTTCCCTCATCCCACTTTCTGTGTATGTGACGAAGAGGTATGGTGATAAGATATAGCCCTGTCTTGCACCTTTTCCTATCTTAAACTCTTCAGTGTCTTCAACATCCCAACGGATTCTAGCTCTTTGGTTTACAAAGAGAGATGTGATTAAAGTGACAAGGTGTTTTGGGAAGCCCGTATCTAAGAAGATGGAGATAAGTTTGTTGTGGCTTACATAATCAAACGCCTTTGAATAGTCTATGAATATAATACAAGCTTGTTGATCCATGGCAATCACCTTCTCAAATAAAACTTGCAAACATACAAGCATGTCTCTGGTCCCTTTGCCTTTTTTGTAGGCAGCCTGGTCTTCTGGTTGCTCTTGTTCTAACTTTTGTTTTTATAAATTCTGTTAACTATTATCACGAGTAAGATTTTGCTGGTGTGACTGATAAGGGCAATAGTCCTGTAGTTTGAGCACAGTTTTTGATCCCCAGATTTAAACAGAACAACAAATTCCAGTATCTTCCATTCATCTGGCCGATGGCAAGAAGTCCAAATGCTTGCACACAATTTGTGGAGAAATTTGATACCATATTGTCCTGTATAGCTTTCCCCAGTTCGGCTGGTATTCCATCAATTCCTGGTGACTTTCCTGCTCTGAGCTTTTCCACCGCATGTTCAACTTCTGAAAGAAGTGGCACTGGTTCTTGTTCCATTATAGGGACCTTCTCTTCTTTATGTGGACTCTCTTCAATTGGTCTTTTGAAAAGCTCAGTTCCATATTCTTTTCAGCGATCCATTATCTTTTTCCTCTGATCTAAAATGATGCCGTTCTTGTCTTTTATACATGATTGCTGTGTCTCTCTGGGGTTGGTCTTGACCGATTAGATAGCTGAGTACATTTCTTTGGCCTTACCAGCTATGTTGACACCGTTCACTTCCCTACATCTTTCTTCCAACCAATATGCTTTATCCTTCCTTATCTTTCTTTGGATTTCTGATCTTAGATTCTTGTACCTTTCTTCCTTGACTTTTGTAACTTTATCCTGTCTTAATTTGCTCTTTTCTTCAGCTAGTAAGAAAACTTCATTACTAATCCAGGGCTTCTTAGCATGTCTTGTTGCTCTACCAAGGGTTGCATCAGCAGATTCTTTAAGTACTGTTTCATAGACTGTCCATATCGTCTCTGATAAAGATTCTTTATTAGGTTCTATTTTAGAGAGATTCTTCTTGAATTTGGTTTATGATGAGTTCAAGAAAGACTGTAGAGTTTTGGGGTCTTCAAGTGATTTTACATTCATTCTTCTTGATTTTGATATCTTGCTGACTTTAGACAGTTTGATTTGCATCTTTGCGACTAACAGTATATGGTCCGTATCACAGTCTGCTCCTGGGAAAGCTTTGGCATCTTTGATACTTGACTTCCACATGCGCCTGATCTTGATGCAATAGGTTCAATCAAAACTTACAAGCGTATAGCACCCCAACTTGAGAACCGTTAGGTTTAGGAATGACCAATATTTTAAAAAAATACTAAAACATTCTGAAATTCACATGCACTGCTCCTATAATTAGGTTTAGGAATGAGCAATATTTAAAAAGATACTAAAACATTCTGAAAGTCACATGCACTGCTCCTTTAAATCGGTATATAAGACCAAATGTGCATGTAGCAGTATAGTCTGGTTCTACCGTATGAGCTATTTCTCTTGCATCTTAATATATAACTATTATTGCAATGACGAATATCGTCATTGCCTTGTTTTCGTTCACATTCTGCACCATTAATATTCTTCTTCTTTGCAGAAAATCGCATTCGTTTTGCACATAGTGTTTGTTATTCCTAGTTAGGTGCTTTTCTCATGTCCATTTCCGTTCAAATTTCATAGGCATAGTCTCTAGCATTTCATCAAGGTCACCTATTTTTTCGATTTTCAAAATCACTCATGCATAACCAACCAGGCGCCATTTTGTCCGTTTCTGGTCCATTTTTAGGCCTTTCTCTCTTCCTTCCTATCTTCACTATCCTAGATCCTACAAACTTCTAATAAATTCTTATAGATAGTGTAAGAGATGTTCTTTCATCTGCGACGTATAACCTGCCCTTCAAAATGCCATCTTTGTACTCAAAATTCAAATCCGAAACCGACTCCATCAAAAATCTCTCAAATTCTTGAAAAATTGACCCGTATAAATCTAAAACTGCCATAACTTTATCATATATTTTCCGTTTTGTATTTAAATCTTACAGTATCTTTATCTCATATTTGCACATAGCCATGCCAAATTCCACGCTCCAATGGCTATGCACAAAATAAATAGCGCCCTCTAAAGTTCTGGGAATTGGCTTTCTTTCTGTGGCCGTATCTCAATTATGGCTTGGCAGACCCGTACCTTTTTTTAGATTTAGATACCCGAAGATATCCCCTTTCCAGCCATATACGAAATTATATACCCTATCTTTGACCAAATTTGAGAAAATTGCTCTCCGAAATCGCCATTTTCAAGAAAATTGCGAAATAACTTCAACTTGCTCTAAAATTGCGATCATTATACCTACAACAATAAAACTTAGCAGACACATGTATCAATATACCTGACAACTATCTGCCAAGTTTGGTAAATTTCAATGACGTCAGCGCAAAGTTATCGCTAAAAATGATGAATTTACTATGCATTACGTGATAGCGTGTTAAATGCGTGCAGTACATTGCGCACAGATAACAATGGTGTCAAACTAACCGCAATGAAGTGCCCTTTCGGATAATACCAAGTATGATATATGTTCACACGCAAAATTGTGAGTTAATCGTATTTTAGACACCATATTATACTGTTTATAATTATGTTAGTATAGACGACCGTTAGTGCCAGATCGCCCGTCATTGCACGCATATCGTTGTGCAACGATTGCAGGTCTAGTAATCATTATAATCATTTCTTTAAACAAATTATTATTGTCATCATTATCACTTTTATTATTGTAATTATTATTCGTATCATCAATAATGTTATTGATTATTATAAATATTGTTATTATCATTCAAATTATCTGTATTTTTTTAAATTGTTATTGTCATCTTTATTACTTTTATTATAACCTCATTATCATCCTTATCATTAATCGTATCATTAAGAATGCTATTGATTATTATTAATATTGTTATTTTTATCATAATTATTATCATTAAAATTATCTTTCTTATTATTAATCATCATTATTGTTGTTGTACACATAATCATTACTATCATAGTTATTTGACTTACTATCATCATTTTAATTATCAATATGTTTATGCGGCAGGCAATCCAGCGGATAAGCAGGTTGATGAAGGTGCCCTTTGGAATTTCGGCTATATGTTATCCTGTGCTACTAATTCATACAGTAGTACTAGATACAACGGAAATGGCTGCTTCTGCGGATTAGGAGGTCACGGCACCCCAGTAGACAATTTGGATGTGTAAGTGCCTCTCCCTTTTCAGTAAAATTGTTTAATTGTCATTCTTATAGATTTGATTTGATTTGACTAATTGGTTTCTGCATTTATTTTTCTTTTTTTTCATCATACATTTTCATGAACATAATATGGTTTGATACAATATTTCAAGTGTATATAATTTTATACAGATATGTTTGTATTCATTGTACCATTACTTGCAACATAATAGCAAATAAATAAACACAAGGACTATTATAATATCTCATTGTATTGCGTATGAAAACAATGTTTTGATTGTGCGCTAATTTCAGAGGGTGACGGACGAAGTTATATCTTGTTCGAAAAGTATTTCTGTTTTCATTGTTTAGTACCTGTAATAGTGTAGTAATTTGTATTTTAATGTACCTCTTCATTGTCTCATTATAGTAACTGCATTTGTTACAGCCCAAGAGATCGACATTTTCGGTCTCGAAGACCTTCTGGCTTCTGATAACATATTGAATGTTCACTAGACCACACCCATGTTATGTAAATTGTACTACCTTCTTCATGTATTTACTCGTTATATCGGTCTTGAGGTCCACCAGTTACGTTGCTGTTGGCCTCGTGAGCCAATTAATTATATCATTACAAATTTTTATTTTCAGTTTTCTTTATGGATAACTGGTTTTCTTATAAAACTATAGATATGGCGTACATATTCAATACTGAATGAACGCCATTAAACTATTACTAACAACAACAACAACTCGTGGGCCGTCGGACTCATATACCTTTTTGGTCTACTAAGATGACCCCACCCCTTCACAAGCCTCGTGTTTTAATGGGAATGTATCCCCCTTCTTACTATTGTTAACATCAATATTACGGTCATTTTATACAATGAGGACAATTAATGTGTTTTGTAACTGAACCTTCATCTGATCACGTCGTTTGCCTTACGATATATTTTTGATATGCCATCTTGAACATGTATAGATGAATGAATCTATCGTATCAAATAAAAGCAAAGTCTTCTCTTTTTGTATTCATTCATTAATTACAATGCCCCAACATGTCCTTGATACACTATTAGCTAAAAATGTATTTTGTATAGTATACACTCTAGGAATAAATTATTCTAGAAGGTTCTTGACTTTGCACAGTGGTTTAACAATATACCATGCTCCTTCGAGCAATACTTTTAAGTTCTGCAAGTATTCTGAAACGACGCAAATGAGCTGTTTGTAGCTCAATGGTTTTCTTTTTAATAATTTCTTTCAGTTATATTCATCCATTTAGGCATTTTTTGTTTTTGATTCTCTTTGTCTCACAAGATGCTGTCAGGTGCATGACAACTGCTACGGTGATGTGGAAGCGGCTAACGGGGGACCCTGCCCCCAGGGCACCAACATATATACCCTAGAATACACTTACGAGTGTAGAGCACCCTGGAGTTGGTTCTTTAAAGCCGAAGAGCTTACCATCACCTGCGGTAAGTCTTGCGAACTCAGTTCCATTTATTTTGCTTTTTTTTTTGTCGTTGCTTATTTAGGATCCCAAAACCAGTAATATGTCAAATGTATTCATACTTCACGAATGCTATCAAATCAATTAAAATAATATCAAATCAAATCAGATTATATATCAACATCATTACATTATCTTTTCATTCATAGAAAAACGACACAAAATTGAACAAAAGACGAATAAATCGATTAATTTATTCATTGATTAAAAAAAGTAATTTGTTTATTGAAGTGGCAAAAGTTTATTTTTATCGGGGCAAGCTAAAACTTTCATCCATTTCATAAATTCCCATAATATTTATTTTTTATTTATGCCAAACTTATATCAAACTTTGAGGCGGACTTACCCTTCAATATCTCGAGATTATTAATATCATGGTATGTACGTTGTAATAAGGTGTGTGGGTTGTGCGTGCGCATGCATATGTGTGTTTGTGAGTGTGTGTGCGTGTGTGTGTGCGTGTTTGTGAGTGTGTATTTGCATGTGTGTATGTGCGTATGAGCAAGTGTATGTGCGTATGAGCAAGTGTATGTGCGTAATGGGGAGAGATAGATGGACAGGGCGGGGTGGTTCCAAGTATGATGGGGGATGGGGTGGTCTGGGGGTCCTCAGGGGTGGGGTTGGATAGATGAGTGATAGATAGACGTATGAGATTGTTTTTGATATATATATATATATACATATAATGCAATTTCTTTTCTAGAGTTTGTTGAATGGAAGCACAACAAATAATATTCAAAACAAAACTATCGATCAGATATGACTAAGTACATGTACTTCTCAACCCAGGTGATGTAAATGGGTACCTGGCAGGAATTAATTCCTTAAAATGGTAGAGCGCCGTATTGGCAACAAGGCTAAGACCGGGGTAAAAATCTCCAAAATTTGTTAAGCCCCCCCCCCCCCCCCCCCCCTTGAGCATCCCTTCGGGTGGATATGTGCGCATTATAAATGTTGTTATTATTATTATTCTTGGATCAACCTTTAAAGTTACCATGCGAAAGACGTTATTCGGTTTCGAAACTTGGTCCTATCAGGGTCAGCTTGTAGACGAAGAAAGCTAGATACCTCACCATAAAATGCACATTGCCGATAGACCAACCACCATCTCCTAAATGTTATAAATCATTTTCTTATTTTCAGATGCTGAAGCCAATGACGGATGTGCGCAAGCATTGTGTGAGTGTGACAAGACGGCATCCCTGTGCTTCGCGGCGAACGACAAGGAGAACATTTGTACAGCCTAAATAATCGACGGGGTAGACTATTCATTGCGCACAACATTCACATTAGCAGCCCTATAGGGCTGAATTACAATAGAAAATACGGAAAGGCTATAAGATATGCATGGCAAAGAATAGATCAGCAAACTATATAATTTTGGCAGTAAAGCATCAATGACGTTATTACGAATATTTTCTTTGGGAATAAGAAAAAAAGTAGGAAATTGAATGTAGAAAAGCTAGAACAATATATTTTCATTCTCAAGATTGAATCTTTAGTTTTAGACAGAGCAAACCAACATAAATATACATCATTATAGTTTATTAAAAAGAGAAATCGTCATCTTATAAATCATTTATTTTATTTTTACGGGTTAACAATGATTTCGACAGTTAAGTGTATTACAGTATTCTTACATTACTACTTTAGCACTAGTTATCTGATTATATGGAATTCGTATTTGAAAGATATCGAACTTTAGAATAAAGATAGAACGATTTTAAATTATAAGAGGATACATGTGACATTTTCTTGATGGAATTCGCATGAAATTTGAAATGAGTATGATCAAATATTACTTTATTGGGTAAAGTTCACTCCACTAATTACAGTTTACTTGCATAATAATGATCACACCGAACGATTACTCCTAAGGTTAAAGAAAATGAAAGCATGGGGTACGACAAAAGAAGATTGTTGATCGAACTGAAATTGTGTTTTTCGAGATTTCGTCGATTTTGTGCAATAAAGTGAATTATACTCTCAATTCAAAAAATTGTGCAGTTTGATTATTGTACTAAGAAATTAAGAATGTGACATTTTCTTGATGGAATTCTCATGAAATTTGAAATGAGTATGATAAAATATTACTTTATTGGGTAAAGTTCACTCCACTAATTACAGTTTACTTGCATAATAATGATTGGCTTCCCACTCACACCGAACGATTACTCCTAAGGTTAAAGAAAATGAAAGCATGGGGTACGACAAAAGAAGATTGTTGATCGAACTAAAAATTGTGTTTTTCGAGATTTCGTCGATTTCGTGCAATAAAGTGAATTATACTCTCAATTAAACAAATTGTGCAGTTTAATTATTGTACTAAGAAATTAAGTATGCGTAATCGAGATCAGGATTCTAATGATCTATACATTTCTACCATGTGATGGCAATCAACGAATATTTAATCAGTCATATTGGATAAAGTCGTTTCATTTGAAATTGAAAACTTTTTTCTCAAATAAATCAGCCTTTATTCCGATTATACTACACAAGTTTTAAGAGTAAGGATAGGTCTAGGTCACGTTGCTCATGTGCTAAATGTGCTTAATATCTAAATGATGAATTTTTACATTTTTCAGGATCGATTAGGATGAATGATGGTGGGGTGTGGTGGAGTGAGAGATTGGGAGGGTGTGCGCGTGTGTATTCAGATGTGTTGTGATGTACCTAATACAACTGACCCATTGGCTATGTGATTTTGCTTGCATGTCTGGTGTGTTGCAGACAGAAACGAGAAAAAAATGGAAACAGAAAGAGACACAGACACACAGATGTACATAGAGAGACTGTGGTTGGTATATAGTGGGAGAGAATCAATACTGTATTAGAAGGGAGAGAGAAGTACACGCAAACTAAACTAGAGTTGTCGAATTTGGGTGTGATGAGCCGCAATTGAAGAAAAAAAAAATCTTATCCTTAATCGGACTATTCTGTAAATTTCAATGTATCTGTTTTCTTAAATTATATCAAAGTTAAATTTTGTCATTTTCCTGGAGTAGACTTACGCCAACAAAGAGGTGGGCATGACTGACCAGAACACTTTGAGCAATCTATTGTATCTGTAAAGGGTACACATATAAAAGAAAACAAAATGTGTGTAAGTATAAAGTTATATCTACAAAAGTAATAACACAATCTGTAGGCCTATCTAGGTTGGAGAAAAGAGTGACATAGCCGGAAAATGAGAGGGGGGACGAAAAGTTCACCGGGGAGGGGCCCCCCAAGGAAAGGAAATGCCATAGCTTTCCCACCCCCTCCACTAAATCAATGGCGCTGTTAACTTGTATATCATCCAACGAGTAAGGCAGATGCTCCCCGCGCCATGATACACCCCCACACGCACACACACACACACACATACATCACACGACACTGACATAATAATAGAAAGTAAAACAATGGTTAAAGTCTTCTACATTTCAGGATGTACGCAAGTGCTTGCTTAATGGTAGAATATAAAGAAAAAGTAAATCATTGCGTGGTACTAAACCGTAATAACAAAAACGAGAAGTTCGACTATTTCAAGTCACGCATGATGCCCCCCCCCCCCCCCCAATAACCAAAACTCTAAAAAGTAACCTCTTTTGGGATTGTATTTTAAGTGATTTTAAAGTATGGTGCCTTTTTAACTAGATTTAAATGTTATCAACCCGTGCCTTCATTTAAACAAAAAAGTACTCCTGTTCACGTTTCATCTAACCTAAAAACCACCAATTTATTACGCGACTGGAGTAACGTGATTCGACTTACCTCTGTAAATCAAGTGTTTATGACCAAATAACCACTTGACCAAGCAACGAGTTTTTTGTCCGTTAACCGATGGTGGTGATAAATAAGTAATTATTTTAAAATGGTAATCAAAGTTGCCGTAAGTTCCGCGGTGATGATCTCGTGACTCAAAAGGATTATAAATCTAAGCTGGGCATACGTGACTTTTAGGTGTGAAAAATTAGTAATTATTAGGTGTCTTAAAACACCTTTTTAAATGGTTTCAAAGTTAACATAACTTTCTTGGTGATGATCACGGAGCTAAAACTGATTATTAATCTAAGCTGTGAATCCGTGATATTTAGGTGTGAAAAATAAGTAATTATTAGGTGTCTTAAAACACCTATTTAAATGATAGTCAAAGTTGCCATAAGTTCCGCGGTGATGATCTCGTGACTCAAACGGATTATTGATCTAAGCTGGGCATCGGTGATTTTTAGGAGTGAAAAATTAGTCATTATTAGGTGTCTTAAAACACCTATTTAAATGGTAGACAAAGTTGCCAGCAGTTCCGCGGTGATGATTTCGTGACTCAAATGAATTATCAATATAAGCTGGGTATTCCGTGATTTCCAGGTGTGAAAAATGAGTTATTTTTGGGTATCTTGATGGTTTCACAGTTACCATTTAAGTTCCGTGGTGATAATTCCGTGACTGTTGGCATATTTATATTTTCACCAGTTGATAACTGACTGTTGGCATCTTACCAGTTGCACCAGTTGATGACTGACTGTTGGCATATTTCCAGTTGAACCAGCTGACACCAATTAATTTGCATATTGAATATGGGGTGCGTGCAGATCTATGTGTTTTTAAACAATTTATCTGAATTTACAGCATATTTCTTAATTAATTATGATTTAGTTATATGCAATTCATTTCGAAAATACTACAAATATAAATTATCAGTTATTAGGACATTTCGCTACTTCGTATAAATTACATTTGATTAAACATGTGTCATGGAATGACTCTTTTCTTGTTCTAAAAGTTATGATAAAGACTTGTGACGAGACTAGAAGAAATAGTTCGGAGAAGAAGGGGAAGACGGTAGTTGTTATCTACGTAATAGCAGTTCGCTTACAGCGACGAAAGTCGCCAACAGCGACGACATTCGCCAACAATTTAGCAGTTTGCTTGCAGTTCCAGCATTTCTATGTTGAGATGGGAACGTTTTAGATAATCCTTAAAGTATGTTTTATTCATTGAGTTATATGTCTTATTATAGAGTGCTGTAAAATGCCACTGAAAGTAGTTGCAAGTTATAGAGATTACAGTCACACTATATGGAAGCGATAGCCTATATGAATGTGTGTAGTGACGTGAAACGAATACGAACATGGATTCGTTGAAAATTTGATTGATAGTTTAGACGGTCTTTTGAAGACCTTTTCCTTTGTGAAAAGATAAAGTAGTTTAAAATTGATGGTTTTCAGGAAGATGATATGTGAATTTAACTTAGTTATGAGCATGGGTAGCCTTCGAATAAGTTAAGACCAAACTATGTTTACTTGCGTATGTACGCGTTAAGGTATTTTAGTTACGAGAACCTCTTCACGCACGATTTAATGCGCGGATGAATATCATTTTAGAGATAAGGTGATAAGTTAGTCTCGTTTTAGGGCTTGAGAAAGATTCTTGTTTGTGTTATTGATTATTCTTTTGTCTATAGTTATGCATTTATGCTTCTCTAAAGATTTGTGGTTTATCGAAAGTTGGCATATTATTTTAACTATAAAGTTTAGATTTACTGACACAAGAATGGAACTTGAGTATTTGTGGAAATTGGATTCCTAAGTGTTAAACGTATTGCAAGAACATGTATTTAAGTGTTTTCATTTGTTGTATTTTTGCAGGAATTATCCCACACAGGCGTTGAATCTCTCTTCACTTTCTAATGGTGATCCACGACAGCGTCACTGTAGCGTATAACCAACCAATCGGACTGACTGCACTTCAATAAATAGCGACAATTTCAAGCATGATGCGATACCGTTCACAAAAGGCGGTTCAACCTGAAATTTAATCAGAATTAAACAATCATAAATAATATGTCAATTTTCAACTGTGTTTACAATCAATCTTGCATCAAATTAGTTGTGCGATTAATGCATGTTTACTGAAATTACACTGTTCCAAAACGAAATATCAATTACCGTAAAGATTATGTTCTATTTCCTTAGCATCATAATGAATAATAAATTTATGATACCCTAATATGGCTTCTTGAGTTTCCTTAGTTCACTGTTGTATTTGTGTGCATGATAAAACAATAACCCTTTTGGCTCTACACAAATTACCCTAAATTCCTCTTTACATACATGTCTACAGTAACCAGAATTTATCTACATTCTGTCACTTTATACAACTGCCTATATATAAATGATATTAAAATAACACAACACGGTCTGTACAACAGACTATCCCCATAGCACTACACACATGCACGGTATTATGTAACTGCACGTGTAAT